AGTGCTTCTGTGATGTCCCAAAACCTATGACGTATCGCATTTATTCGAAATAGTTATTTTCCTAACAAGTGCGCAAAGTGTTACTTTACGTATCCGAACTCCGCTTCGCATCGTTCGTATAACTGTGTTTGCGTGCGCGTTAGGAACAAAATTTTTCCTACGAGCTTCATATCAGGTAGGTAATAACAAAAATTAAAAAAAAAAAACGATAATTTGTTTAATTATTTTTAATTAACTTGAAGGGAACCTAGGTATGCATTTATCAAAAAATTACATAACAAAAAAAAAATAACAGAAAATCCTCGTTAGAGCTGTTCATCTTAAAGCGTCTAAATTTGATGAGAAAGTTTGTAGATTTTTGCATATAAATAGAGAACAAATCTGACAATGTGTCAAAGTTAATTTATATTTGGTGTTTGTATAGATGTCGGGTGATATAGAAACAGAGGAAAAATTTGTCATCATGCGTCAAAGTCGACAGGTGCACTTATTGTTGCTTGACAAAAATACTTTTCCTACAGCCGTGCGGAAATAGCTATTTATACAATAAGTTACGAAATGAGCGTCTTTTAGGCACGCGACGTGAAAATTGTCCAACGAGGCAAAGCCGAGTTGGACAACACGTCGAGTGACTAAAAGACATCGTTTCGTAACGTATTGTATACAAGATTTTTTCTACTGGCATTTTATAATAAAAAAACACAATTTTATTTCATGTGAATAAGTCGATTACACCCAAAATCTTTGTTACCTGCTTTTACTTGACACCTGACACTTTTCATGCGATTTTCTTTTCAAAATTCGACATCAATAATTAAAATCCTAGAAAGTAGGTAATAACACAAAGTTCTGTTTTGAGTAACCCAAACGTTCAATTCAGTAATTCCATTTTCAATATTCATAATAAATACAAAACAAAATTCAAATATGTGTTCAGTGTGTTTTTTATTTCTGAATAATGAATGACACTTTTAGGCACTAGTGCTTAAAAATTACTTTTACGCACTCATAAGTCACTTTTACGCATTCAAAAGTCACTTTTACGCACTGAGTGCCTAAAAGTAACTTTCACGCACTCAGTGCCTAAAAGAATGTCGTTTCAAAACTGAAATGACAATCGAAAAGTTGCTATTATGAAACGTCAGTAGAAAAAATCGATTTTCCGCACTGATATGCGTGCGGAAAATGAGTTTTCCCGTACGGTGCGGTAAAACTTTTTTTTTGACATATCAGTGCGGAAAAAGTTTTTCCGCACGGCTGGCAGTGCGGAAAAAATTTTACCGCACTGATATGTCAAAAAAAAGAAAGAAAAATTTTACATTTTTTCGCCTGTAGGAAAAATATTGTACCTAACACTTGCGGAAAATATTTTTCCGCACTCGGCTGCATCACCGAACTCCGCTACGCGTCGTTCGGTGAAGGGCAGCCGCGTGCGGAAAAATTCATTTTCCGCACTTGTTAGGTAAATAGCTATTTCGGCACTCAATGCGGATAAGGCCTGTATCCGCACTGAGTGCGGAAAAGTGTAACTTTGAGCCCGGAAATGCGTGCGGAAAAGTACTACTTTGCGCACGCTCGTAGGAAAAAATATTTTATCTACTTTTTAGTAATTTCCTACCAAAATTATCTTCTCTGTCTCTCTCTAACACATTTGGTTCTTATGGAAAGTACCAATAATATAAATTTTTTGAATAAGTGCAATACGTCATTGGTTTTGGAACATCAGAAGCTTACGAAATTTAAAATAAAAAAAGAGGGTCCGTATTTAAAAAAAATTAGTCGATGATGGTAGCCCAAAGACGAAACGTCAGATTTCAAATTCGATGCTAGCATATTATAGGGGAAATAAAGTGGCAATGACGTAGTGACATTTATTTTGGAATATCACTTCAAATAAAGTCAGGAAAAAATAAAAACAAATTTTCAAAATTTCGGTTTTTTCCGGATATGTCCGGAAGTATTCGGAATATACTAAATATCAAAGCAGAATTTTGTTAAGCATGAAATTACGCAACTTTGCCCCCATTTAAGCAACCCTGTATATCTTACCGTTTCCGAGATCCCAATGATGTGGCTCGAATCTGAAACACCCTGTACAGGCCTCATCATATCACATTGGAATAGAATAGGAGGCTTCTGGACACTCTCAAAGAAACACTGGAGGAAAACATAGACGCTGTTATCTGGGGAGGCTTTAGCTTCCCTACTGAGACTGTCTGGAAAAGTCTTACACTGAGTGAAAACAGTGTTAACGCTGTGATTTCATTGATGCCTACAAGGAATGGAATTGTGGCAGCTAGTCACGGAAGATACAGGGTTTCGGGGCGATCAATCATCTTCGTTGGACTTATTGCTGGTAACTCACAAAAAAATGATCTCAAATATTGAACATCAAACATCACCCACCACTGGGGCTCTGCGACCATATAGTAATCACGGCCATGGTACAGTTGAGACTTGGGCAACTTCCATCTAGGAAAGTACTTAAACGTAACTTCTGGAAGGCAGCTTATGACAGCATTAATGTCTATATTAATAAAAGGCTTGTAGGCACAAATACTGACAATATGGAATTCAGAATTCAGTGAATTTGAGGGCATAGTGAAGGTAACCATTGAAACCTATATCCCACTCAAACCTAAGCTTGTGAATCATAAAAAACCATGGTTAAATAATGCAATATTTCAATATTTAAAGCAATCGAAAGAAAACGAACACTTTGGGATAAATACGCCAAGAACAAAACAGCAGATAATTACAATTTGTACAGAACTCAAAATAACAGCTTAAAGAACAAAATCAAGGCAGCCAGGAAGAATACGAAAATTGTCTCTTGGAGAACAGGGACAAGAAATAGTTTTATATGTATGTTAAGCGAACATTAATTAAACAGTAACCAATCACGGGAGTGATTATCTCTGATCGTCAGAAGACAGCTAACACATTCGTGGATCACTTTGTGAAGGTATACACCAGAGAAAACCTAGTAAATTTCCCATCGCTATCGCAGAATACTAGGTCTATTGCATCATTAACAACCATAGATGTCACTGACGAAAAGGTTATTCAAGCAATCTCTACTTTGAAAAGAGAATCTAGTCCAGGCCCGGATGAAATACCGGCAATATTTTTAATAAATTGCCAAAGGACGTTGGCTTCACTGATAAACGGCCTGTTGCAGTCACTAATCACTCAGCAAACTGTGCCATAGGGATGGGCTCGAGCATACGTAGTGCCAATCTACAAAAAAGGAGACAAGCTCAACCCTGGAAGTTACAGACCAATTAGCCTTACCTGTAACCTCTGCAAGATCATGGAAAAAATAATAGTTTGGGAAATGACATCTTTCCTTGTTAAAAACAAGACCATCCCACCCATACAACACGGTTTTCTTTCCGTACGATCAACCACAACCAACCTACTTACCTGCATAAACTCATGGACGAAAGAAGTGGACAGTGGCCATCTGGTAGATATACTGTACTTAGACTATGAGAAGGCCTTTGACAAAGTAGTATTAAGAGGTTATTATTCAAACTGCAACATTTTGGAATCAGCGGTGAGCTCCTCGGATGGATAGGCAGTTTTCTACAAAACCGAAGCTTTCAAGTAAAAGCAAATGGGCATTAGTCTGATGAATACAAAATCCTTAGTGGGGTGCCACAGGGATCGGTGTTGGGCCCACTGCTGTTTACCGTATACATCAGCCAGCAATCTTCATTCTCTTATGCATTTTTTATGCTGATAACACAAAAATATACTGCAAACCGTCCTTGGAGCATCACAACCTTTAAGACAACCTGAAAACAGCTAACACTCAACCCAGACAAGTGCACTGTACTACCTACACATTGGCCCTAACAATCCAAACATACCTTACAGCTTAAACAGCACTACCGTGAAGGCTGTCACTGAGCAGAAAAATCTGGGTGTCATTATCTGAAATCACCTAAACTGGAAAGCCCATATTTCTTCAGTTGTCAAGAGGACAAACTCTTTTGTATGCCTCATACACAAAACTCTTAGTGACAGATCCATCCCCATGATTAGCAAAATATACAAAACATATATCAGACCTGAATTGGAGTTCGAACATTCGGTTTGGAGCCCATACCTGGTTAAGGACATTGAAATCTTGGAAAGAGTCCAGCGTAGGGTAAAAAAACTCCCACTGAAATCAGAAATCTCTCATACAAAGAAAGACTACTGAGATACAACATAACAACCATAAAAGCTAGAGGAGAGAGAGGGGACTTGATTGAGAAGTACAAAATCTCAAATCACCATCATTCTACATATTTGCAACTAGACATTTCAGTCTGTTTGTTTATAAGTTTCAGGCATTGCGTTGTTCAAATTTGTATTAAAATTCACAAGCGGTCATTTTATATATATGTTTGTACAAGATTTATATTTTATTAAATCATAAATAATTGGTAAATTATTATAAAAATTGTTGAATAAAGAAGTAACTTTTCCCTAAATGTTCCAAACTGATCTTTGGACAAATTTCGTCCATGTTGTTTATAGCTCGTTCACATCTTGATTTGATATTGTTGGTTCGTTTCAAAAGGTTGATCATTTTTTTAAATCTCTCTACTTACAGCTGGCTACAATCGGTCCATTGGCCTTTGATTTTTGGTACAGGTGAACTTTTGGGTGGCTCGTGTTCACTTGATTATTCTTATATCGCGTGACAGTTTTACATAATATTTGTTGGCTGTCAACTGCTAGCTTGAGATGAGGTTGATTGTTTCTGGAATTCACGTCATTGTTTAGAAGTCTTCCAATTTAATTTCCTTGATCAGCTTTTCAATGTTAAAGAAAAATGGGTGTCATGTCATAACAATGCATTTAAAATTTGCACATATTAACTCAAATAAACTACTTGATTTTTTGGGAGAATTTCATCCAGAATGGGTTTTATTGGCTAGAAACAAACAAAAAAATCATTACTTTGTGATGATCTAAGAACTAAATTAACTTTTGCTTTTTTTCAGATGAAGTCCACTGTTGTTCGCAATGGGGCCACGATTTCAGAAGGGATTATTTGGCTTTGTCGATTCTTAAAGGCCAGTTTCCAGGAGTACCCATTTTGGGCCTTACCGCTACTGCCACTACAAACGTGATGGTCGAAATTCAAAAAATATTAGAAATTCCCGATGCTGTGATTATTACTGCCCCCTATAATAGACCGAATTTATTCTATAAGGTGATGGCTATAGTCGTTTTGAAATATTTTTCATCCAGATAACATTCTTTAAGTTGTATTAACAACTTGGGATTTTCTTTTAACGTAACGACTGTTCACATAATCAAGTGCCAAGCCATTTTTATCTATAGAGTCTTAATATAGTTTATTTTTTTCAGGTGATTAATAAATTGGAAAACAAATCTGATTCGCTAGATTATTTAGAAAAAGTTTTGAAAAATAAATATAAATTCCAATCGGGAATAATTTATGCAGCCACTCAAAAAGACTGCGAAGAGCTGGCTACTGAATTGAGAAAAAGAGATCTGCAAGTTGCTCCGTATCATGCTAATTTGGAAGGCCCAGTAAAAAGTAAAATTCACAAAAAATGGGCGGATAATACCTATCAGGCTGTGATCGCCACCATTGCATTTGGAATGGGTATAGGTAAAAAATTTCCTCAGAAATTTCTCATTACCACAACTTTCTATTGCCTTGTTTTTTTTGTGAATAATTTGTATATTTCTAATTCTTATTTTAGATAAACCTGATGTTAAATTTGTCATTCACTATACAGTACCAAAAAGTTTGGAAGGATTATACCAAGAAAGTGGAAGGGCCGGACGCGATGGCAAAAATGCAGACTGTACCCTTATGTTCAATCTTACCGACTGGTTGAGGAACTTTTCCATGACACAAAATACCAGAGAAGAAAAAAGCGTTAATGATATTTTGCATTATTGCATCAACACAGCTACGTAAGTGTTTATACTCAGGTAGATAATTTACTTGTTCTGCATTTTGCTAGTGTTTAAAGCGCCGTTTACACTTGCAATTTTTATCACAAAAAGTATTTAGCCATTATCATTATTAATTGCTAAAGTTTTTGGTGTAAATTGATGTGCTAATTTTTAAAACTTTGTAGGTGTAGAAGAAAAATGATATCAAAATATTTCGATGATGACTGGAGATCTAGTGACTGTATGCAAATGTGCGATCATTGCAAAAACCCCAACGACAATATTCAAACCTACAACGTCATTTCGTGTTTGAAAGACATCATCAACTTAATCGGACTTGCTTCAAATAAAGAAGTAAATTTAACCCTGAAAAAACTTTTAGATAACTGGTTTAAATTGGGTCCGAAAAACTTACAACTCTCTGGGACGCAGCCTAAGTTCACTAGACAACAAGGGGAACATATAGTAGGATTTTTATTGTGCAAACGTTATTTGAGTGTGAGAAGGGGCTATTCGTTAGTAACAACATTGGCCTACATTGATACAAATCCAAGCGTTGACATCAAAAGCTTTAATGGGAAAATTCTGATGGAATATTCTAGCAATATTAGGGGGCTTCCTATAGAGAATATTGATAAAATTGATTTAATAGAGGAATCTGTATCAGGAAAACGACTGTCTGAATCCCATTCAAACAGTCATTCTAAAAAAATTAAAAAAGATGTTTGATTTTTAAGCTTTGATTCTATATTAGAATTATGTATGTATATACTTAGTTATTAATTTATTTCCATTTGTTACACTGAGCTTTGGTGCAATTTTGAATGCACCTGCTCAGTGATCCATTTGAATTTTTTGATGTTACCTAGTCAGTTGAATAGCAAAATAAAACATGAAAATATAATCGTGTATAATCCTTAATGTAAGCTAAATTATTTCCCATTGGTAAAGCCTTTTCTATGATCCTGGTAGGCCAAGTTTAATAAGAGCCAAAGTAACTACATTACATCAAGTAACAGTTATATATGTGTTTGGCTTTGAGGTGCCTATGATAAAATACCCTAAGAAAAATATATTGAATTGACTTAGAAAAGATGCCATAGCTCAATTTCTGAGCTAAATATTGAATTCCGGTTTGAAATTTTCAATTCAAGAAGCCTAATGTGAATTATGTGTATTTCCTAGAAATTTGAAGTTTCTCAGAAAATTTAGAGTTCAACTTTTCAAAGAAAAATACTCAATTGTCTTAAAAACGATGCTCAACTTCTGAACCGAAAATCGAAATGCGAAACTTCAATTTATACTTGCCAGAAATTTGAAGTTTTTCAGAAAATTTTGTGGTTTGCCTGCACTTTGAACTTGCCTCGTTTTCGGTCGTAAACGAGGCAGTTACAGGTACCTACAGTAGTGTAGATATAGAATTCATTAGCACCTCCTCCTCCTGTTTGATTTAAAGAAAAAAAAAAAGTTTGCAACAACTCTGTAGATTTACCAATTGCACCATCTATGTGGCACTAACCGTTTTAGGAAAGCCTTTACGATCGATAATGCGATAACCTAAACAGCACACAAAGTATCAACTTCTGAACGTCTGAAAACAAAAACAAAGACGTCTTGAACACGTTGTTTTGAAAACTTCCATAAAATGTCGTAAATTCACATCTTATAAAGACAACTGAGCCCCACTATTTGGTAAATCCGGGCCTAAAAGTGTATAATGGTTTATGTATAAAAAAGAGATTCAAAGTCATAGGATGTCTAAGTCCTAAAGACGTCTTTAGGCCGACGTCTGCGTTTAAAAGACTTTGGGTTTTGTAACATACAACGTCTTTAAGATGTCTCTAAGACGCCTTAAGAAGTAAGCAAGACGTCGTTTGTGAACATCTTAGAAAGATGTCTACAAAAATTTCCCTCTGAATTCGTTGCTCATTCAATGTAAAAGTTATTGGAAACCATTTAGAATGCTACAGAACACTTTAGAACTTTAAGAAGTTTTTTTTTTGGAAAGTTTAAAACAATTGAAAATTCAATTCATAATTTCCAAAAGCATTCTGTTGCGCTTCAGAACATCTTGGAAACTTCAGAACCATTTGATAATGCCCCATAACATTCAAAAACCGATTCACAATTTCCAAAAGCCTTTTAGAACAATTCAGAAGTTTGAAACCGATTTTAGGTCGCTCCAAAACACTCAAACAATCTCCAGATTCTCAGCCGATTTGCTGACGTCACATAAATATTTTTCATTTCGCGTATGTTGTTGCAAGGAGCTGACCGGCTCGGCTGTATTGCGCTCTGTAAAGTACGTTGGAGGTTCGAATGCGCTGTTGTCGGTTGTGACTAAATGGTAGTGCAGCGTAAAATAAATAAGTAAAACTAAACATAAAAAATTGTATTAAATTGTGTTTAAGCATAATTTAAAAAAAAAAAATGATAAAATCTTGGATCCATAACTAATTAATTTACCTAACTACTTTTCATGATATTTTGCCAACATTTCATAATTAAATCTATTACAAATTTTCAATGTTGACAATTAGTGGCAACACGGTCAAATTGCGAGCTGCGACATCATAGAAATAAATTCTGGGTTTTTATTTGGAGGTATTTCTTTTTTTTCTGTTTTCTCAAGAAGGACTTTGAATTTTTCAAAAGTAAAAATACAGAAAATTCTGTTTTAGTTGCTTTATCCAAATATACCACTTTCAAAAATTAGTGAAAGAGCCCATTGGGATTCAATTTAGAACTGGAAACTTTTTAGAACTCTTTTGAACCAATTTAGAACACTTGGGAGCTTCAATAATAGGGCTCTAAAATACTCCAAAATGTGTCAGAACAATTTAGAAATTACTGAAAAACTTTAGACTGCTCCCTTCAAGCCAACTTGGAGTTAGAACACTTTAGAACTTTAATAAGTTATTCAGAAGTCTAAGTTCTTGAATTTCCATCATTATTCTCGTATTTCAGTATTTAAGGCTTTTGATTTGTTTTTTAATATTTCCTAGCTCTTCTAATGTTTTTCTTCCAAAATGAATTATGTCTGTGTTTTCTTTTAAAAGAAATCGCCTAGCGTTAGCATTGGAAATTGGAATAGACAAAAATTGACTTATGATGAGTTATAAGGTACGTGAGTTAACTTTATAATAATGAAATATTACTCCTGAAGACGTCTTTAGGTAGACATCTGAAAGACGTGTTCTGTAACATACGTCTTCAAGACGCTTTGAACACGTAATCGTCGTAAGCAGAAGTCTAAAAGACGTTTTGGGTGTGGTTTGTGGACATCCTTGGCTTGGGTTTTGGACATCTAGAGACAAGGGACGTGGGACGTCTTTAAGATGTCTGGGAAGTATCCCAAATGACATTCTTCCATAGGAAAATGCATATAAGAAAAAAATTATATAACGCGTGTTCTTGCTGTACCCTGATGCAAAAATGTGTGAGACAGATATATCAACTTCGCATAAGTCTATCGCTCAGCCTGGTTTGGTCTAGTGCGCATGCGTTAAATGCAGTTGAGGTGATTGATTGGTGAGTTGTAAGCATAATTTTCAGACGATCGATAATCTCGTTTTCGTAGTGGACGGACGATGCTCGACGACCAATGAGTGCTGTGTAATTATAGGCATGCGTAGATTTGACGGACCGAACTACAAGATAGACTTATGCAGAAATGATATTTCCATCTCACTCATTTTTGCATCAAACGCCTCTCATACCGCGTGTTGCTAAATTCACCAAAATGGTGCACCGCCACGGATGCGGTGATTAATAGTAGATTTTACCACCAGTCAATAATGATAGCTATTATTCCCGAGGATTATTACGAATTGAGCCGCGTTAGCGGCGAGGGAGTAACATTCCGAGGGAATAATAGCCATTATTGCGAGTAGTATACTCTACTTTATTTACGACAAATTAATTTATTTGAGATTTTCAATGAACAAATTTCATCCGTCTCATAATTTTCAATACAAATGCACAAGCACTACACGTTTGACACTGACACTTTTGTGGAATAATGACCATTAATCCCGCTACTCGTCATTAATCCCTGGAGGATTAACATATGTCATTATACTGCCAAAATCACAAATATAATACGCACATTATACATTAGTCGTAAATAAAATTCACTAATGCCACTGCTAAACCACAGCTTGTCAAACTCTGGTTAATTTAACAACACTGCTTGTTCTACCATTCCACCACGGTGCCTACACCAGCTGAATTTAGCCACACGCGGATTGCGTAAATGGAGTACACGCGTTATATAATTTTTTACTTATATGGGAAAATGTCCTTAATACTCCTTAGGAATCGTTTTATCAGTGGACGGTTATTTAGGGCCGAATGTATAGTCGTTCGTTGAGTCTATCATGGAGGTCATGAGTATAGAATGGACACTTGCTACTATCTGACAAATTAGTCATGTTAATCCGAGTGTTAATCTAAACGTCCAAGGCTTCCTTGAGGTCTGAGGAAATCTCAGGTAGCGATTATAAATTCAGCCTCCTTGCTTGGTCGGTTAACTCAGGTTAACTAATTAACAGTTAACCAGCTGAACTGAATATCCTCCCACTGATAAACCGGTGCTAAGGAATACTTATCGTTTCTAAAGAGATTTGTTATTTATTTATTAGTGTCGCACTAAATTGAACTGAGCATTGACCGCAAGATATTTCAGGTTTGTGGCGTCACCAGTTCAATTGATAAATGCTTAATGGACGTTATTTCCACCAACTATTTAAGGAAAGCTTTAACGATAAGTATTCCTTAAAATGACAGTCTTTCATGGAGAAATGTCAGTTTAGAAAATACACTTATCGTTAATGCTCCCCTAAATTGGTGGAAACGGCCATAAGTGCTTAGAACAATAAATATTCTAACTTTACTGACACAAACGAACGGAGTGTTTCATTACGTATGATTTTTAATTCGTGAGGTTAATAGTCGTTTCCACCAACCATTTTAGGAAAGCCTTTATAACGATAAGTATTCCCTAAAATGACAGTTTTTCATGGAGAAATATCAGTTTAAGGAATACTTATCGTTAGGGCTTTCCTAAATTAGTTGGTGGAAACGGCCATTAGATTTATTATTTATATTCCGATTATTTACTCTTTTGTGGATTTGATTTGTGGCAGATTTGGACCATTATATAGGTTTTTTTAATGGATCATGAGACGATGTCGAAATCGAATTTCTTTTATCAAGTAAATGAGGATAGTGAAAAGGACTGTCACGATGCAAGCTGTCAAGGATTATACACGCTACTAAGGATTGCTTATCGGCCTCGTTTTTGGTAATCGCGGCCCATTGAACTAAACAAACACTCTGGAACGGGCGCACTGCTTTAAGCTAGTGTGTCGATTATGATATATGCAACCCAGCAATACAGAGGGATTATTGTCTCGCTCGCACTCATTGCGATTAACATAAAAGAAAGAAGAGCTTCTTCATGTTCCTAATCTCAATGATCCAAACACTTCAAAAAGCTGTTCTCAATAGCCGCCATAGTGCAGAGAGAGATGCAAATCCCACTTGTTTGTTGTCCTTTCTGGCACAAACCCTCGCGTAGGAACAATTATGCAGCCGCCTTTCCAGTGTGTTTGTTTATTTCATTGTTGCGACGTCATTAACTAGGTCGTCAGCTATTTGCGCCAGCGGTCGTAGTTTAGAATTTAAATTTGTGATGAAAAATACCTATTATTTAATTTTGATTAACATAATAGGCAAAGAGGAAGATGCAAACGAGATCTAAAAAAAAAAGTTGTTTTAGAATGTTAATTATATGGCCGTTTCCACCAACTATTTTAGGGGAGCCCTAACGATAAGTATTCCTTAAACTGACATTTCTCCACGTGAAAATGTCATTTTAGGGAATACTTATGGTTAA